TAGCAGACCTACTTGGTTCAAATCAATCCCCTTCCTCTGTTTTCTTTCTTTCATTTCTAATTCATGGGTTTTTTTTACCATTTTACCATTTTCTCCTTTTACCAATCCCATCGCCTGAGCCACCCACTCAATCAAGAGCGAAAAACCTAAATGGTTTGCCTTAACTAGAACCTGGAACTAAGGAGACATTTCCTGGCAGTGAGAAGAATTAACCAGTGGAACTACTTGTCTCTAGAAGCTGTGAATGCTCCAACACTGGAGGTCTTCAAGAAGAGATTGGACAGACATCTGTCTGAAATGGTTTAGGGTTTCCTGCCTGAGCAGGGGGTTGGACTAGATGACCTCCAAGGTCCCTTCCAACTTTATTATTATTATTATTATTATTATTATTATTATTATTATTATTATTATTATTATTATTATTATTATTATTATCATCATCATCATCATCATCATCATCATCATCATATTAATGTTAATGTTAATATTAACATTGACATTAACATTAACATTAACATGAGCAGGGGGTTGGACTAGATGACCTTCAAGGTCCCTTCCAACTTTATTATTATTATTATCATTATCATTATCATTATCATCTTAATGTTAATATTAATGTTAATGTTAACGTTGGCATTGACATTAACATTAACATTAACATTAATAATATTATCCACCCCTAGCCCAGCCAGTTGATTGGACAGGCTCTAGGTGATCCATGCCAGTTCTTGCTGAGATTCCTTTAGGAGCCCCGCTAAAAATAAGTTAAAATGTATTTCTAAATATTAAATATTAAAACTGCTTTAAATTAAAGCAGGCAAAATGTCGAGGCTGCCAAGAACAAGGAAGGGGACAGACCGGGCGATGCTGCTCCTGACATGTCACCTGCATGTTAAGGGGAGCAACCCAGCCCTGCACGTGCCCCTAATCCGGGACACCTGTCCCTTTTCTCCCTTGGGATTTGAGCGGTTCTGCAGCCATTATTTCGGCATGGGAAAACGAAACATGACTGAGTCATCACGTCTTAAGAAACACTAGGCAATTAAGAGATAAATGTGTTTCCTCCTTTCTAATTATTGTTTTATCCTTCAATCACACTGCTTAAAATTAAAGCCAGTAGGATTAGTAAAAGGATCTATCCCTCCCCCTCTGTTCAGAGAGGGCTGTTCAGTTTTGACACAGATGGCCTCCAAAAAAAGGCAAAGGACCAGCTCTCTGCAAGGAGTATAAATCCTTCCATTCCCCACCATTTGGTCAGAACCCGAAGAAGCTTCTGGGATGAGAAGCGAAACGTCTTCAAAGAAAAAACAAGAAAGTCCAGTTGCCTCGTGAAAAAGCATATTTGGGATGATTAGTAAAACCATTTAAATAGCAAAATGCATTTAGTGCTCTCTCTCTCTCTCCCTAACTCCCCACCCTGTGTGAGGTGGGGGCTGGGCTCATCAACAGCCCTTGGGAAGTTTCTGTGGCTGAGGAACCACGGATCCTGGACTCCCCGGTCCCAGCCCAACACCTTGTCGGAACTGCCATCCTGTGCTTCAGCCTCGCATTAATAGATGCCAGCCTGCCATAAACTGGGGGGGGGGGGAGGGAATTGCTGTGCTCAAGGGGAATGGGGGAAACCGAAACTTTGCATCAAGCCGTCCTGAGACATCAACTCATTGCTCCAAAACCAGAGGACTGGAAGGGGAAGCAGCAGGCTCACCATCCAGCCTTCCAGCGCAGGGACCAAAACAAACTCTTAGGATGTAACTGCTCCCCAAAGTAACAACTCCACAGAGAGATAACAAGGGGGAAGGGAAGGGAAAGTTAACTAGGGAACCTTCGCACGTAAATCTTAGTTCTGGCCTAGCTCTACTGTAACCACTTGATCTTTAGTAACGGTATACCTTTCACACAAACAGAGTCGGGGGTCTTTCTTTCCTAAGGAGCCAAGACAGGGTAGGTATGACACACCTTCAGCCCCACTGCTCCCCAAAGTAACAACTCCACAGACAGTGAGCATTCAAGGGCAGACATTGGCCGGGCTGCCTGAGGGGGGGAGGGTTTCCTGGGTGTGTATGTGAACCCATGAAAGCAGCAAGATGCAAAACCTCAAATATCCTGCTGCATTAGCAGAGGGACAGATTCAAGATCACGTGAAGTGTCAGTACTGCTTTACAAGGCCTTGGTGAGGCCACACGTGAAGTGCTGCATCCAGTTTTGGTCACCACAGTGTAAAAAAGATGTTGAGACTCTAGAAAGAGTGCAGAGAAGAGCAACAAAGATGATTTAAAGGCCTGGAGACTAAAACATAGGAAGAATGGTTGCAGGAACTGGATATGGCTAGTGTAGTGAAAAGAAGGACGAGGGGGGACATGATAGCAGTATTCCAGTATCTCAGGGGCTGCCACAAAGAAGAGGGAGTCAAGCTATTCTCCAAAGCGCCTGAAGGCAGGACAAGAAGCAACGGATGGAAACTAACCAAGGAGAGAAACAACCTAGAACTAAGGAGAAATTTCCTGACAGTGAGAACAGTTAACCAGTGGAACAACCTGCCTCCAGAAGCTGTGGGTGCTCCATCATTGGAGGCTTTTAAGAAGAGACTGGACAGCCATTTGTCCGAAATGGTGTAGGGTTCCCTGCTTGAGCAGGGGGTTGAACTAGATGACCTCCAAGATCCCTTCCAACTCTGTGTTTTTTCTGTTGTTCTGATTAGGAGTAAAAGGACTAAAAGGAACTGAGGGGCTGCCATGGGTGTGTATCAAAGTCGGGAGGAATCCAGGGGTCGGTGATGTATATAAATATAAATCCTTCCATTCCCCACCCTCCAGTCAGAGCTGAAGAAGCTTCTTGGATGAGAAGCGAAACGTCTTCGAAGTGACAAAAAAGAAAGTCCAGTTGCCTGGTGAAAAAGCACTTTTGGCACAACAAATGTTGCTGAACTTCATCTCCCAGAGTCCTTCACTCTTGGCCATTCCAACTGTCCCCCACCAATCCTGGCTTAGAGGGAAGAAATCAGAAATAATGGGCCTCTGTCATGGTTGACTGCTCTGAACTCCTGTTTTCTCAGACATGCATGTGAACATCCGTTACGGTTAATCATGCTTGCAGTCATGATCCCCTGACCCCATCTATTCTTTTTTTTAATTTAATTTTATATATTTTTATTTTAGCCCTGTTTTTAAAATCTCCACAGGGGTCAAAGCCACATTAGGCTTTTGCAGCACAAAGGACAGAGAGATTTAAAGATTAACCAAGTTATTGTCCCAATAATTCTTGGATGTTCATAGCCGAATTGTGGTCCATCACAATTTCCATCATCATACTGTATTAATCGGCAAGATGCCAGAAGACGGTTTGATCCTCAGCTGCGGGACCAGGGTAATCCCTGGTATTCCTAAATCACGTTCTAGCCCTCTGGAAGCACCTGGACCAGACCAGCCCTTCTCATTGTTCCATCGAAGGTGTAGGAGGACTGTCACTGATCTTACGCGGGGGAAGGGCAGACTTACTCAAAGCCGTCTGATGATGCAAGAACTTCCTGCTTCTGTGGTAGTTGCATTGTTCTGGTCAGGTGTCTTCACAGAGTTACACCAGGGACACTCAAACCTTTTGACTTCCTGTTTCTAACACCAGTTTGGGGCCCAGATCTCTTTCCTCCAGGATGAACCCATCACCCACAGCTCTGGCTGGGGACATACTGCCAGGTTCTCGCTGGGATTGGGTTCTCTCTCTCGCCTGGGCTAACTCGGAATAATAAAATGACAGAGCTGGAAGGGACCTTGGAGGTCTTCTAGTCCAACCCCCTGCTCAAGCAGGAGACCTTATAATAATCAGGGGTAGGCAACCTTGGCTCTTTTACGACTCCTGGACTTCAACTCCCAGAATTCCTGAGCCAGCTATGCTGGCTCAGGAATTCTGGGAGTTGAAGTCCAGGAGTCGTAAAAGAGCCAAGGTTGCCTACCCCTGCCTTATACCATTTCAGACAAATGGCTATCCAACCTCTTCTTGAAAACCTCCAGCGATGTAGCACCCACAACTTCTGGAGGCAGGTTGTTCCACTGGCTAATTGTCCTGACTGTCAGGAAATGTCTCCTTAATTCCAGGTTGCTTCTCTCTTTGGTCAGTTTCCAACCCTTTTTTTTTGTCCTGCCTTCCGATGCTTTGGAGGAGAGGTTGACCCCCTCTTCCTTGTGGCAGCCCCTCAAATACTGGAAGACTGCTATTATATCAACACACACACACACACACCCCAGTCCTTCTTTTCATTAGATTAGACATGCCCCATTTCTGCAACCGGTCTCTGCGTGCTCACCATGGGTCGGTGTAGCCCTGACCTTCAAAAAAACCCAAGCTGGACCCCACAGGCCTTGGCTACTTCTAGCCAACCAGCAGCCCCCCGTTGGCTGATCTAGCTGGGCCTGGGGTCTAAGCTTCGGGGGGGGGGGAATAGGGGGTTCCCTGGACACGCTGGGCAATACCTACAGCCGTACTCCACCTGGATGATCCGGACGCTCTTGGTGGAAGCAAAGAGGTCAACCACGGCGTAGAGGGGGCGGGAGCCGGGCAGACCCCTGGCGCTGGCCCCCATGTCTTCCCCGTTGATGACCATGTGCATGTCGGCCGTCCCGTCCGGCTGCGGCGCGAACAGCACCCCGATCCGGCTCTTCCGGGCCGTGGCCGGCAGCACGTTGGTCTTGTACAGCTCGTCCAGGATGTGGCTGTAGCGGCCCGGCCGGCTTCGGCCCACCAGTTTGTCGCGGGGGATGCGGACCGGCCCGATGAGCAGGTGGGGCCCGCGGAGGAGCCCCGGCCCGCCGGCCGGCGCCTCGGTCACCCGGTTGTGGTTGCGGGTGATGGCGAAGACCCAGCTGTCCCCCAGGCCGACCAGGTCCGGGAGCGCGTGCTCGGGCACCGGGGCCAGGCTGCGGGGGTCGTGGGCGGTCAGCCCCACCCGCAGGTGGCCGCACCAGCCGGGCTCCTTCTCCTCGATCTCCACCAGGAAGATCTGCCCGGGCTCCAGCGGCCGGTGGCTGAAGCACAGCCCGTGGGCGAAGCTCTCCACGCGGGTGGCCCGAGTGCCGGAGGCGTCCACGCGCACGTTGGCCCCGTGGACCGCGTGGAACCGGGTGGGCGGGGGGCGCGCGGCCGCCATCTCGGATCCCTCCGGCCCGAGCGGAGGCTATTTGAAGGGGGCTGCGAGGGGGGCGGACGCCCTCCGGGAACGGCCGGGTCCAAATAGGGAGAGCCGGGCCGCGGGCAGCCGGTCGGGTCCTAGCGCCAGGCGCTGCCGGGAGCAAGACAGGACACACATACACACAGATACACACACACACAGCCGTCTCCCCTGAACGCGCCACTGTGCCCCGCCGAGATGGGGTGGGGGGCGCCAGCGGTAGGCCCAGGAAAAGAGCCCGGCGCCTCGGAATCCCAGTCTGGCCCGGGCATCGGGAGCCGGTGCAGGCGGGAGGCTCCAGCAGCAGCTCCGACACGCCGCCGGACTTCAGCGGCCGCTTAGCCGGACGCTCGGAGCGGTTGTGCCCGGCCTGAGCCGGTCTTCTCCTCCAACGTCTCCGGAAATTCTCCGTCCTGCGGGGCCTCGTTGTCCCACAGATGCTTCTTTTCTCTCTCTCTCTCTCTCTCTCTCTGAAGACGTTTCGCTTCTCACCCAAGAAGCTTCCTCGGCTCTGACCGAATCCCTCCCTTCCCCGCCATCCAGGCAGAGCCGAGGAAGCTTCTGGGGTGAGAAGCGAAACGTCTTCAGCGAAAAACAAGGAAGCGCAGCTGCCTCGCGAAAGAAGCACCTTCGGCTCTTCTCGTCCAAGCAAAGCCCCCAAATTTCTTCGCCCTGTCCGCGGGGGGGGGCTGGCTTCCAGGGGCCTCGCTCTTGCGTGCGCCCCCCTCCGCCCCATTCCACTCCGGGGCCGCAGCAAAGGGGCGCCTGGGCCAGCCGGACTCGACTAGCTGTCCGGCCCCCGGCCCCTCCGCGCTGGACCCCGCCGGTCAAGGCCGAAGCAGCCGTCCCTGCCCCCCCCCCGACTCCCCCCTTCCCACCCGCGGCGTCTCCGGAGCTTCTGGGGCGCCGCGGAGCAGCAGCCCCTCCGGCCCGGCCCGGCGCTGGGGGAGCAGGCATGGTGGGGGGGGGGCAGGCAGCCTGCGGGGCTTCTGGGGCTGCAAGCGGGGGGGCGCGGGGGCGGCTCCGCAGGCCTTGGCTCCGGGGTTCAACTCAGCCCCGCCGCCGCCCCGGCGCCGCTCCCTCCTCCCCCTCCCCCTCCTCCCCCTCCTCCACCGCCGTCGCCTCTGCAGCGGGGCCAGGACCCTCCCGGGGGCGGGGCGAGGTGGCGCGCCGCCCCGATTGGCCGCTGCTGGCTCCGGGCCCCGCCCCGCCCGTCAAGTGACCAGGGCCCGGCGGGGAGCGGCAATCACGTGCGCCCGGTCGCCGCTGCAGGAGCCGCCGCTGCTGGAGCAAGAGGAGCCCCCCCACCCCGTGGCCAGGTGAGCCCCGCCGGGAGCCGCGGAGGGGCGGCCCCGGAACCGCGGCTGGCGGGACCCCCGGGACTCGGGAGGGAGGGAGGGAGGGAGCCGGGCGGGGGGCGGACAGCCTCCTCCCGCAGGAGCCCCCCCCCCGGAGGCTCCTGACCGCCCGCCCGGCGCTTCCCCGCAGATGGCTCTCGCGCCGCTGCTGATGCTCCTGGCTGCCGTGGCCGCCGCCGCCGCCCGGTCCGGCTCGCCCTCCTCCAAGTACGCGATCGGCTTCCTGCCGGGGCTGCCCAAGCAGGCGGCCTTCGAGCAGTACACGGGCTACCTGAGCGTGGACGGCGACAAGCACCTGCACTACTGGTAGGCGGGCGGCGGGCCGGCGGTGGGGGGGGGGCAGGCAGGGCAGGGCAGGGCCGGTCGAGGCGGCCCCTCCGACGCGGCTTCCTCTCCGCAGGTTCGTGGAGGCGGAGGAGGCGGACGCGGAGAAGCCGCTGGTGCTCTGGCTGAACGGGGGTCCCGGCTGCAGCTCCATCGCCGGCCTTTTGACCGAGCACGGGCCCTTCAGGGTCAGTAGCCCCCCCTCCCCGGGGGCTCCGCCCTCTCCGGGGCCGCGTAGGGATGCGGGGAGGGAGGCAGAAGCCCCCCCCCTCCCCGGTCCACTCCGCCCCGCTGTCGCTCTGGGGCAGCTTCCCTTCTGCTTCCCCGGGGGGCGGGGAGAGGGGGGGCAGCTGGAAGGGCCGGCTCTTGTGTCTCTCGCATTTGTGAGGTCACACTTCCCCCCCCTGCCACTGTTGCCTCACCTGGCAGGGGCTCCTGTGCCTTCCCGAGGTGCTCAGGGGGCCAGAGAGCCCTGGGCATCAGGCAGAGGCTGTGGGCATTCTTGGGGGTCTTCGCTGAGGAGGGTCACTTGCTCCCATTTAGGTCCAGCCAGACGGAGCCACCTTGACGTATAATGAATACAGCTGGAATAAGGTGAGCCCCCCCCAGCCCTGAAAGCTTGGCTGGAGCACCTCCTGCCCCTCCCAACCCAGAAGGCATGAGAGGCAGTGGCAGGATCACACACACACACACACACACACACACACACACACACCGTGGAGCCTCACCCCTCCCCTTGTCTCCCTCCAGCTCGCTCACATCCTCTACCTGGAGTCCCCGGTTGGCGTCGGCTACTCCTACTCGGACACCCAAGAGTATCGGACAAACGACACAGAGGTGGGTGCCGGCCCTTGCCCGCAGCTCTGCCCTCCTTGCCCCATCTGCCTCTGGGCCTGGCACGTGCCTCTCTCTCCGCCTGCAGGTGGCCCGCGTCAACTACCTGGCCTTGAAGGAGTTCTTCCGCCTCTTTCCGGAGCACCTGCCCAAAGACCTTTACCTGTCCGGGGAAAGCTATGGCGGGGTCTACATCCCCACCTTGGCGCAGTGGGTCATGCAGGACGCCAGCCTCAAGCTGAAGGTGGGTGTGCCAGGCCCCTGAGGCCCCGGAGCAGTCTCCCCTGGAGCCTGGCATTAAGTGGGCGTGGAGGGAATCGGGTGGTGGCCGCAGGGCTGCCCGGCGGCATTGCCCCCCAGCACTGGGCAGCTCTGCAGACTGGCAAGACCAGAATTCTGCCAGCAGCAGGAGCGGCAGTCGCTGCTTCTTCCTGGGCCTCCCTTGAGCTGCTCTTTTGGAGAAGCAAAACCAGGGCGTGGTGCAAGTTTCCTCAGCCGGTGCGCCTGCGCGCACACACACACACACACACACACGTTTCCCTGCCCTGGGGAGTGCCTGGCCGCCAACAGCCAGTCAGCTCCTCTTGGGCATGTGGGTGGGGGAGGGAAGGGAATGGTGGTGAGGGGCTGCTGGGCGTCACTGGGCGTGCGTTTCAGGGCCTCTCGGTGGGCAACGGGCTCTCCTGCTACGAGACCAACGACAACTCCCTGGTTTACTTCGCCTACTATCACGGCCTGCTGGGCAAAAGGTGAGCCTCTGCCCGGGGCCCGGAGGAGGAGGGGCGGGGTGGGCGCTGCGGCCCCCAAGGCGGCTGAGGGACCCTCTGCTTCTCCCCCCCCCCCGCAGGCTCTGGGACGACCTGCAGCGCTACTGCTGCTCCAAGGAGAAGTGCGACTTCCACAAAAGCACAAATGTGAACTGCACGTCTGCGGTGAGTGGGGAGGACCACCGGGGCTGGGCCTGGGGGGGGGGGTGTGTGGCAGGGGAGAGGTCAACCCGCTCTCTTGTTCCCCACAGATGGTCGAGGTGATCCAGATTGTGGACGAATCGGGCCTCAACATCTACAACCTCTATGCCCCCTGCGCTGGGGGGGTGCCAGGAAAGTACAGGTGAGGACCTGGCGGTTTGCAGGCTGCCCTACTTTCCTCTGCCCCCCCCCGGGGTTCCTTGGCTCCTGGGAGTGACGGGCAGGTCTCCCCCCCCCTGGGTGGAGGATGCGGGGGTCCTGGGCAGGCAGCTCAGCCGTTGCCCACCTTGCAGTTACCTGGAGGAGACCATCGTCACTCACGACCTGGGCAACAGGTTCATCAGGCACCCGGCACGAAGCCTCTGGAGGCAGGTGAGGAGAAGCCGCTTGGGGGGCGATTGCCAGGGGGGGAGGGGGAGGCTGGGCATGACCCCTGCTGAGGAGGAAGGGTTGGGGGTCCCAAAGGTGCCGCAGGAGAACCTTCACTGGTGGGGGTGGAACACCCAAGAGGGTGAGACAAGACCCAGGCCCTCTGCAATGGCCTAGAGAGCAGAGCGAAGGCTCTTCTGCGCTTCTCTGCCCTGCCCAGGATTTAAGCCAGTTCCCCAAAACACAGGAGGGGGAGGGGGGAGGAGGAGGAGGAGGAGGAGGAGGAGGAGGAGGAGGGGAAGCGAAGGCTCCTTGGGCATCTCAGAAGCCTTTTGCTCTCCAGAGGCTGTGGCTTCCTTCCTTCATGCAGCTTTCCTCTGCCCTTTGGAGGGCCTGAAAGCAGCTGACCAAACAGGGAGGGAGGGAGGGAGGAAAGGAAGGAAGGAAGGAAGGAAGGAAGGAAGGAAGGAAGGAAGGAAGGAAGGA